GTCCAGACTGTGGAATAAGCTCCCTCCAGAGGTGGTGCAATCACCTACCCTGGAAATCTTAAGAGGAGACTAGACAGTCACCTTTCTGTGGTCACCTGACCCCCAGTTGTCTTTCCTCCTTGGTACAAGGGGCTGGACCCAATGATCTTCCAAGGTCCCTTCAGGCCTTACAATCTATTAACATATTTATGGCTGGTTTGCCATTTTATGGCCCCATAAATTGTGCGCATGTATGGCATCTTTGCCACTAACATGTAACTTGTGGCATAAATGGAATGTGTAAAGAGGTCCTAACACAATAAGTGTAGAACTCAATTTAAGAGTCACTTTTCTGTATAAAACTATGCTGAAATCTATTTGTTGATATATGTGAAAATGTGTGAGAGAGTTTTGAGCTTTTCAGATTAATGTTGTTTTACTGCATGGACATTTCCCTATATATGCACAATAAACTGAAGGGAGTCTGTCTTGATATTCTGCAGATGCATCAAAGATTGTCACTATCCATTCCTGTAAAACATCTTGAATGTAGGCTTTGTAAGCAAAATACCAAAGTGTTTGAAAAACTTTGTTTAAAATGTAATATACTTAAAGTAGCGATAAAGATTTTTGTGGTTTTAGGTGATCTGCAAATCAGTGGCTTGATTGTTTGAGTTTTTTTGTTTGTTTTTTGTTTTTATCCAGTTCTCAAACTTCTCTGCCCCCATTCAAAATGGCTATAAAAACGTGCTTTTCTTACCTAGGAGTACACTCTTAAAATGAAAAAAGCTGTTTTGCACCTTCTACACATTTGTTGAAGCCGTTCCTTTAATTAAGAACTTTTAAACCTCACAGGGACAAATTAGTCAGTTAACAGTGAAATATGTGTTGTATAACTACAAGGAGTGGTCATAGCAATGTCTCTCATGCACACTCTTCCAAGTATAGATAATTCTGCTGAGGATACAAACACACATAACGTTTTCTATAAAGTAAATTAACTATATAGGAAAGATGGATTGGGCACCCACCATGCACCTTTACACCACTCTGTGCTCAGGTAATGTTATTAGTCCCTCAGACAATGAGAAGTAACTATATGCAGGTACAAATTTATCCCAGTGTCCCAGACATGTGTATACTTCCATAGTGAATTGCGTCCTGTGCAAGGTGTTTTCTGTTTGCATTACTTCACCATCTACTGGCCAGGCTCTGCAGCCAATAGTGCTTACTGTAGTCAGCCAACTTGAGAAGACAGTTCATATACCTGCTCCTTTAATATAGCATAAAATCTGAGGTTAATTACTTTGTAGCAATTGTGTCTGTGCATCTGTATTCAGAAATTTATTTATTGATTATTTTAGAATGAACACATGGAAGTTTGTTTATGCTATTGGTATATCTATTGGTAAACGGCCATATCTTATTCCTTGGTATAGCATAACTTTACAGGGAATAAAGAGAAATAAAATAACAGGGTTCACAAATGCTTGACAGTGCCAAACAGATTACAATGCGGGAGGTATGAAGCAAATGTAGGAACAAGAATGACAATATTGTGACATGAGATCATAACCAACGGCCACTTTGAGAAGTGAAGTCTGTTACAGATCATTGCAACTGGTTGTCAGGCATGTAAACTGAATCTGTTTCCTGTGAGCACAGCAACCCCTATGTCAGTCACTGCACTCTTGGAAGCCTTTACAGAATACATTTTTTTTGGTGTAGTGGTATATAGTCCAGGCTGTTTTTAGCTTCTTTCTGGTTTCCATGTTTTGATGCCACAGTTCTTTAGAAGGTCAGTCCTACAAGTTAGGTATTGTTAGACACTGAGCATTCTGGTCTTTATTTAGCCCATTCATAGCTTTACTGAAGCCCTGTGACTGCCAACATACTTAAAATTAAGCATGTATTTACGTTTACAGAGGAACTGGGCCAGAATATTCATATCATTAAAGGATCAAGCCCTAGATGTGTGCTTCAACATTCTGCACACTCTATCTTGACTAACACCTGGGTATGATATCTTGGCATCCTTTGTCTTAATCTTCTAAAATAGTTTGTGCTGCTGAATCTGGTTTCAGCTAGTATACTAAATTCAGCTAGAAATCTGTGGGTCTCTGAACTGAAAATTGTTTTCTTTTCTAAATCAGGGCAACTGTGACAAGTATTTTTCTCACATTTTTTTCCCCTTATGATATATTCAAACAATATTATTAGGTAAGTACAGATGTTCAAATAGCCCCTTGCAAAAGTGGTCTAACCATAGCGGTTTACTTAGTGCTATAAGTTAGAGCAGGAATAAATTGAACAGACATCTGCCATTGGAGGGATGGGGGGGGGGGCTTGGCACCTCCCTGCACTGGCCAAGGCAAGCAGGTAGGGAGCACTCCTGCATGCCTCACAGGAGGCTGCCGGAGCCAGCCCCACCCTCCCACCAGTTGATGACTGTCGGCAGCAGCTGGAGATGAGGAGGAATGGAGTCCTCTTGCCATGAGGGTGTCCCTCCCTCCATAGCTTGCTGGCTGGGATCTGGAGGCGGGGGGCAGGGAGAAGGGAGAGGCTGGGCCAGGTCTGCACAGTAGGGAGGCTCCATTCCCCCCAGCCTCTTGTCAGCTGGAGCCAGGAGCTGCATTATGGAGCTGCCCAGCTGGCTTTTTGCTATGCTGGGAACTGGGGCTGGGAGTGTGTCCCCCTGCTGTGCAAACCCGGCCTGGACCCCCTCTGCTCCCCCGAGACCCAAACCAGCAAATGCAGGGCAAAGACAAAGCCTTTTGTGTCTCTTCTCTGTGACAGCTTGTGGGCAGGGCCAGGCCAATCTTGTCCAGAGCAGATGAGCACCAACTGAGGCAAGCAAGTTACCCAGCGAAGGCTCCCTGGGGTGGCAGCAGAATGTGATCTACACTGAAGTGTGATGGATGTGGTACAGAAATTCAAAAAAGCACCTAGAGTGCTTTAGTCTAATACCACATCCATCCCAGGTTAACTTAGAGTGGGATCTGCCATTTTTAAGGCACTTGAAGTGCCATGAACGTCTGTTCTACTGTAGCTTTAAAGTGCTTTCTGTGCGCTTAACACGTTAAGTGTAACGTCTGTACCTAGCCATTATTACATTAGCTTGTGTTTCTGTCAGATCTCTCCATTTCATTTTCAGCAACAGAATATGGGATAACCCTACAGGTGAACTTTCTTTTTAACTGGGTTAAAGATGATATTAAAAATATGCATTCAGTTCTCATTTTACAATTAGCAACTCTTTCTTATGCACTAACCTCTTATTATTGAAATAGATATGAAAAAGTAGCACATGTAAACTGTAAAGATTCTCAGTAATGAATAGCCCCATTTACCTTCTACACAGAGATGTTTTAAATAAAATGAGGTTCAATTATTCTCATGAGTTGCTACGAAGAAAATAGAAAGCAATAGATTGAAGTTATATAAGAAACAAATTAGTTTTAAAACAGGAGAAAAATGTTGAGAAAGATATGTTGCTGTTGAAGATAAGAAATGATAGCTTAGATCAGTTGTGCTCAACTTTTTTAGACTCAAGGCACCCTTTGGAAAACACCAACTCTTAGTTTTTACTTGTTTGGGGGGGTTTTTATGAGAGAGAAATAATAGAGCAAGTCTTCTGTTCCAAAGAACTCAGAAGCACTACAAGAGGCACTGTTTTTAACCATATGTATTCTGATTTGAAACCTCTTGGCTTATCATGTGAATCATATTTGCATACATGACTGTTGTAAAATTGTGTGGCAGCCCATAGCACCCTTGAATGGATCTCAGGGTACCACAGGGTGCTGCATAACCCTGGGTGAGTAGTCTAGATGCTTATCTCAAGATGGTTTAAGGGCAATTTAAGTAAGCATGCTAAAAAGCAGTGTTATAGTAGATTTATGCTTTAAACCCATTACAGTTGACCTTGAACGTAGGATTTTGGCTCTGAATTGGAAACTGCTATCATGGCCCCTTGAGTTCCTGCCAACCTTCACTGACTACAGAAACCGCTCCCAAATGTTATGCCTTTGGGTTTACTTGTACACCTTCAGACAGCCTATTCAGGACTCATTGGCTAAACTCAGCTCTTGTTCAGTGGGATGTCACACTGCCATTTTTGTGAAATTGGTGCTGTTAAATTCAGATAAGTTATGGAGGTGTACCAGAGTCTAACAAGGTTGAGAATCACTGAGCTAAATCCTGCAGGATGAATGGACTCACCATGATTTATACGATTGGCAGTGAGGTTTAAGTCCACATGACCATGTTATCTTGCTCAGATCCAGAAATTCAATTATAGGAGTTTCTCAGTTGTTTCTTCAGTCTCAAGCACTATATATACTTAGCTGTCAGAACTGTAAAGTTTGCTTCCCCGTCTTTGGATCCAAGGACACTTGTTTTCTTCATAAGTTACATAAGTGTATTTCATTTAAAGGAAGCAGTGCCATTCTCCCTTGTTTATTGTGAACAAGGAATGCTGGACAAATTGCAGTTTAAAAAAAATATGTTTTCTTGTTTAGCGTTTTTGCTGTTTGCTTGCTGCACTGAGTTACCTTGATTAAAAGCACTGATTCTTACTATTTACATACAATATTGCTGGCCAATTCATTTGGGGAGGAAATTCTCTAGTCTCTGTATCCACAGTGGTTTTGGTTCTTAATACAACTCTTAACCTGTAACCCATGTTCTAATCTTATATGGACAAATTAAAAAGAGAAACCAGCCAGGCATGTCTTTCTTAGGGCATGGCATAAAGAGGTACTAGAGGGAGGAGAATAAGAGTCTGTCTTAAATAGGACTCACCAAAGGAAGACCAGAGTTTTAAGTATGTGCTAATCAACTTTTCTTTCCCATTCTAGCTTCTTCCAACCTGGTTACATAAATTCTTCCATGGTAGTTGAAACAACAAGTGCTTTCTTTTAAAGGTTTTTCAATGCAGTTAACCTTTGTTTTAAAAGGCAGTTTTCCACGGATGTTTGACTTTTCAGATTTAACCTATGTCTTCTACTTTCTGTTTTCAGGATTGCACGGTGTATGAAACAGAGAATAAAATTCTTCATGTGGTGAGTAGTCCTTTGATTCTTATAAATATGTGTCTGCTGTACAATATCTAGGAATCTTTCAATCTCCTAGTAGTAGTGTTAAAGTGCTAGCAAGCTAGTTTTGGCTTAGTGAAGAGTTTGAGTGATTGTTTGCAAATAAGTAGAGACAAGTGTAAAGCAGGATCTGGGACCTGATAATCTCTAAGCTTGCAAAGGCTTGCTCCTCACTGCAAATTATCTGCTTTGTACTCGTCTCCAGAATCTGTTTACTCAAAGTGTGCTTATGCCCATGTATTAAAGACTTTTTGCTTGTCAGATATACTTGCTAGGCATACATAGTTGTATCTGTTTTTTTAGTGATACATTCAGATTTATGCTGTGTTACTCCTACAACCATGGCAAACCCAGGAACACTATGGAACAGTGAACACAACTCCCTCCCGGTTCATGTACACTCTGGGAAACTGCTAATGTTCTCCACTTTTAAACCTTTATTGCTGGTAATGATATATGATCTGTGGCAAAATGTGCTTGATTTTGCAGAAAGCACAGCAAGCTTGATAGGTTGACCATTTAGGGGATAAGAAAAAAACCCATGAATAAACTTATCTGGAAGTCAGTAACACCGTAAGCATGGAACCTAAGTGTACAATATGGAATTCCAGTCCAAGCTATGGTTCTACTAAGTTGGTTTTAAGTTTTCTGAAATCAGAACTGTTTCTGAAAACAAATAATAGATTGGTTTCATTATCATAATAATCATAAAAACATAGAACCGGAAGGGACCTGTAAGATCATCAAGTCCTGCTGGGGGCAGGAAGTTATTGGGCTCAGATGAGCTTGACAAGGTGCCTGTCCAGCCTCATCTTGAACACCTCAAAGGACAGTGACTGCACCACCTCTGCTGGGAGTGTGTTCCAGATTCTGCTTACAGAGAAGTTTTTCCTTATATCCAACCTGAATTTACCCTCTATTAGTTTATACCCATTGGTCCTCGTCTTCCCTTGAGGTGCTTTTCTGAAGAGTTGCTCTCCTAGTTCTTGATGCTCCCCCCAATGTACTTGTAGGCAACTATCAAGTCACCTCTCAACCTTCTCTTCCTCAGGCTGACCAGGCCCAGTTCCCGGAGTCTCTCTGCATAGGGCCTACCCTCCATGCCCTTAATCAAATGGGTGGCCCTTCTTTGGACCCTCTTGAGCTTATCTACATGCTTCTTGAAGTGCAGTGCCCAGAACTGGGCACGGTACTCCAGCTGAGGCCTCACCAATGCCAACTAGAGAGGGAGGAGTACCTCCCTGGATCTATTGGCCACACATCAGCTGATGCATGCCAGAGTTTTTTTGCCTTTTGGCAGCCTCATTGCACTGTTGGCTCATTCATCTTCCAGTCGATCGTGACTCCCAGGTCTCGTTCAAATGCTGTGCCAGCCGGAGGACCACCGCCCACTGTATATTTATGGTGGGGGTTCTTCCTACCCAGGTGGAAGACCTTGCACTTCTCCCTGTTAAACCTCATCTGATTTCATTCCACGCATAAATCCAGCCTGTCAAGGTCATCCTCAATCTTTGCCTTATCCTCTGATGTGCCCGCGTTTCCCCACAACTTATCATCTACAGACTTAATCATTGTGCTTTCCTCATCCAAGTCGTTAATGAATATATTGAATAGCACAGGTCCAAGCACCGATGCCTGGGGGACACCACTGGAGATGGTCCACCAGGATGACGCCATCCCATCAGTGACCACTCCCTGAGAGCACCCTGTAAGCCAGTTGTCTACCCACCTCACTGTAGAATGGTCCAGCCCAGTACTCTCCAGTTTGTTAGAGAGAATCACATGGGAGATGGTCAAAGGGTTTACAGAAGTCTAAGTAGATGACGTCAACCTCATGTCCCTCATCCAGATGGTTGGTTACCTGGTCACAGAAGGACACAAGGTTTGTCAGGCATGATCTACCCTTGACAAAGCCGTGCTGGTTGCTTTTTAGCACCCCATCTATTACCAGCATGTAGTTGATGGCTCCCTTAACCAACTTTTCATAGATTTTACCCAGGACCAAGGTCAGACTGACTGGTCTGTACTTTGCAGGGTCATCCCTTTTCCCTTTCTTAAAGATGGGCACTACATTGACCATCTTCCAGTCATCCAGGACCACTCCCGAGTTCCACAACTCTTCAAACAGATTGCCCGGGGTGCTGCTATAAGTTCAGCCAGTTCTTTCAAGACTCTTGGGTGCAGGTCATCAGGCAGGTTGTTAGCAGACTTGAAAATGTCCACGTATTGTAGCAAATCACTCACCTGTTCTGGGCTGATTTCATGTAGGCTGTTACTTTCCCTCTGTTCCCTGGGCCTCTGGTCAGGTGAGCAGCCCCTGTTGGGTTTTGGGAATACTGATGCAAAGTATGTATTAAAGAGTTCTGCCTTTTCATCAGCATTGACTGTGCACTGCCCCTGGGTGTATTCAGTAGGGGTCCCACAGTGGAGTCTGATTTTCATTTTTTTCTTACTCCCTGTGAATCTATAGAAGAACTTTTTGTTGTCTTTTATACTGGTTGCCAGTTTGATCCCTATGCCTGCCTTAGCTTTCCATGTATCATATCTGCGGGCCCTGGCGATACAGGTGTATTCCTCCCTGGTTGCTGAGCCATTCCTCCATTGCATATACACTTTTTTCTTTTTCAATAGCTGCTTAATATCTCTAGTGAGCCAAGCAAGTCTCCTAGCTCCTTTCCTGCTTTTTGCCCACATGTGGATGTCCTGTTTTTTGAGCCATGAGAATTGCCTCCTTGAGGAAGCACCATCATTCCTGTACTCCTAAATTGTCCAATTGCCAGTTGCAGAGGGCTTCTCCAATGAACCTCTTGAGTTTGCCAATATCTGCCTTTTTGAAATTCAGGACTTCTGGCGACTAACTTCCCAGTCTTACAGTGGATGGAGAACCTTATCAGGTCATGGTCACTGTTGCCCAGAGTGCCACCAATCCTCAGGTTGCCTATGATGTCCTCTCCTTTGGTCAGCACTAAATCCAGAGTGGCCTTGCCCCTAGTAGGCCCTTCCACAACCTGTGTCAGACACAGATTGTCTGTTGTTCCCAGGAAGTTGGCTTATGCAATCACTACATTTATACACTTTTTATTTCTGTGGTTGAATAGGCTACTAAACTTAAATACAAAAGCAAATTATTTATGTTTCCTCCTCTTTGGATATGAGGCATTACAGTAGTTTTGGCTCTAAATATTTTAAATGGTCAAGATCAAATGATTAATGTCAAATGCCTGAAAACTTGCATCCAAAAGTTTCTGACACAGTTTTAGAACAAAAAGTATTGCATTTTTTCTTTTCCACTGTAATTTTTTCCCTTATGGAACTAAAAGTATTGTTATTTTTAATAAGCTTGACTTTGTCTTCCTTGACTGACCTCTACAATTTTGTGAATAATGAAGTTTTTAACAGTGCAACATTGACAAAAATATGAAATATTTTATCTTAGGCCATCTTACATAATGTCTATTTATATACATTTATATATGGCACAAACAGAGTTCCATTATATATGTTACATGTACATTTTGGAAGAAAACATGCTTTACATATATTAGCATATGTTTGTACTTTAACTAGATAAATGAGCTGTAAAATGAGTTGGCAACATTTACAGGTAATGTAGCATTAATTAGGGTAGTCCAAACTAGAAGTTTTTTAGGAACTTCAGAAAAAAACTAACAAAGGTAGATAAAAGGATAGAGATTGATCAAATTCACTGTTTAAAAATTATGCTTTTCTGTGAACTCATGCACACTTCTGGGTAATATCATCATTTAAACCCGCTCACTTTTATCTATAGTCAGTTTCAGCTGTTGGTTTAACATCCATTCTAAGTTAGGAGATATTCTGTCATTTTGGTTTGGCTAGGGAACAAATAGGTCTGAAACAAAGGGAAAGTTTGTGGTTCATCATCTTAAAGTTGGAATTCAAAATCATATTTGCAGATGGGAAGAGGATAGAAGAGAAGTAGGCTTGAACAGAGTAGAAACAGACTCCTGAGAAACAAACACAAATACACATACTGAATGAGAGTGTGGTGGAAGAGAACTCACTAAACATAATGCTGAAAAACATCCAAACATTAGGCAGAATAGTGGGAAAAGATAATGTCATCAAAGCCTGCATGCTCTGAGTAGAAGTGTACAGGTGACAGCATCAAAGGTAGCCCTTAGACCAAGGAGGAGGAATGTAAAGGCATGGAAGAGTTTGTCAAATAAAGGGAACAGCAACTGGTTTAGGTATGTTCAAAAACAGGTTTTGGAGTTTAAGAAACCTGTGTATAGAGAATATGCAACTGAGTTTGGAGATAAAAACTAGAAGGCAATGAATTCAAGAAAAAGGTGACAAAAATTATCATGGGCATAGAATGAATCTCAGATTAGCTAACCTAGTTTTTCCAGTCTTACTTTATCAGAAGAAATGAATAAAACAAAATGTGAAGTACAAAAAATGGTGTGGAGAGAATGTAAATACTCATTCTTTCAGTATGCAAAGACTTTGAGGCTATTCAATGAAACTGACAGGCAACAAATTTATAGCCTTATTGGAATGTCTTTTGTTTAGCTGGTGAAACTCCCTCTCAGCAAGAGAGAGGATTCAAAACAAGAAGTGAACATCATATGGGTGGTGAATATCTACACACATGTTAAGCAGGCTGAAAATAAATTAACGGTAGAACCATGCTTACTTCATAGAGTAATACTCCCTTTCGCTGATTTCTTGACCTTCTTCCCCTGAAGCTTTTAGGACAATTATTGTGAAAGATAAGATCCTTTTTAGCCAGAGCAGGGGCAGGGTGTGGCCAGATGCTGGCCTGCCATGGCCCCTGAGGCAAATTCTTCCCTCCATCCCCTTTTCGCCCCCCTCCCCCCCCCAAGCTGGCAAACCCTGGGGACAGCCCCAGCTGCACTCCATGGCTTGCCTGCAGCCTGGCAGGGATGGAGTTAATTCCTTCCTGTCTCCGCTCTCTCTCTCAG